TGCGCTGATGGCCAAGCTCAAGCGCCGCAGCCAGCACGCTAGCTTTGATTTCCCACAGCAAGAGGGATCGGGAGTCACCAAGCTGCTGGCCCACTGCTCGGCAGACTGCCAGGTATACATGACGGTGCGACCACGAGCCGCTGTTGGGCCGTGTGGCGAGTGCACAGCCCAAATTGAAGTGCCCTGGCCTGTCCAAGCTGGTGACAGGCACAGGCACACTGTGATTCAACACACTGTTGCAAATGATTTTGCCCTCCAACCCTGTTCCTCGACCCCGCACACACATCAAGGACCTCATCACGCGGCTGCTAGCATACAATCCGGACGAGCGCCTCAGCGCCCGCCAGGCACTGCGGCATCCCTACTTCCGGGAGTTGAGGTGAATATGGGGAGCATGACGCGGCTCGAGAACGCGGGCGGCCGCATCGAGCAGTCATATGTGAGTGTTGAGTTGGTTGCTCTGGTACCACCATTGCTTATGCCTGTCACAAAACCCTCAATTTATGCTTCACTCTCCCCCATCTGTAAACAGGGAGGCTGAGAAGCGGCAGAAAGCGATGATGGCTTCTGACATGCAAGGGAGCAACGCGGTGGCCAGGTGTGTATATGTATGCTGAGCACTGACAGGGAAGAAAGGAGGGGTCAAATCATCATGGTGTCCCCGGATTGACAGCACAACAGCGCCCAGCAAGACTATGCGACCAACAGGGAGGTTAGATGTTCACCAGTAACCCCCTTGAGTGGTGTCGCAACATGTTGACAAGGACCGCTCTTGCAACGTCCCTATTTGCACCAAATTCCCTGCCCCGGCAAACCAACACGCCCATTACTTCCTCATGAAGCGACGCCGAGCGGCGGCACTCGCAAAGCGCCTCAGAAGTTGGGGTCGTCAACCTGCCGGGCGACACCGCAGCCCCGGGAGGATTGCAGCAGCCGTTGATGACGTCCAGGTTCCCTGGTGCTACTTCAGATCTTCACCTGCAAGACGGGTTCTCACTTGGCGGCGGCGGCGGTGGTGGTGGCGGCGGCCTGGCAGGCGCCCTGCCTGCAATTGGAGGCACCAGCCTGCGTGCGCTGGGGCTGCAGCATGTGCAACATGCAGCAGCGGCAGCGAACGTGCTTTTCGGCGCAGGGTTGGACAGCAGCCGGCAGCCAGCTGGCGAAGGCGGTGCCGGCATGGGCGTTGGAGGGGCGCTGGGGCTGGCGCCCGAAATGTCTGGCCTCTACCATCTCGCAGCACAACGTGAGGCGCGGGGCAGGGAAAAAAATTACGTGCACTGCACAGCTCCCCTTCTTTCTTGAATGCGCGCTGCTGCCGGTCCCCCCAAGGCCAAGGCGATTACCCGTTACTGCAGGCACCCCGTACAAAGAGCTTGCTTATGACCACTGCCTGTGTCCCCATTCACACTTGACAACCCCGCTTACATAAACCTACTGCTGTCACAGCAAGCATGGCCAGTCTGGCAGACGAGGCGTCCTCGATGCTGCTGGGAATCGACGGCAGTTCCCTGCCTCCGCTGATCGTGCGAGGCATTGTTGGCGGCGGGCAGGGCGCAGGCGCCGCCACACACCCAGCGCACGCAGTGCAGCACGCACAAGCGTCGCGGCGCCAGTCGCTAGGAGGCCAGGCGGCTCAGCAGCAACAGCAGCAGCAACAGCAGCAGCAACAGCAGCAGCAACAGCAGCAGCAACAGCAGCAGCAACAGCAGCAACAACAGCAACAGCAGCAGCAGCAGCAGCAGCAGCAGCAGCAGCACGCGATGCCACCCCCGCTGCAGCCACAGCACTCGCAGCAGCAGTACGTAGCTAAGCTGGCTGCAGGAGGCAGCACTTACAGCAGCACGCATGCCGCTGTGGCAGCAGCAGGAACAGCAGCAGCAGCAGTAGCAGCAGCGTCGCGCACTGGCATGCTGAAAGGCGTTGGCATTGGGCCAGGAACAGTGAGCTCACACCAGCAACTACAGCAACAGCAGCACTACAACCATCAGCCGCCTTCACAGCAACAGCAGCAGCAGCAGCAGCAGCAGCAGCAGCAGCAGCAGCAGCAGCAGCAGCAGCAGCAGCAGCAGCAGCAGCAGCAGCAGCAGCAGCAGCAGCAGCAGCAGCAGCAGCAGCAACAGCACCGTTTTGCACGTCACTCAAACGGCGCGGCCTCAATGGGCCCTGGTTTGGTCCAACACGCTGCAGCAGCAGCAGCTGCCGTGGGCCTTGTGGCCAGCACAAGTGCTGTCAGTGTCGCAGGCGGGGCGCATCGGTCTACGGCAAAGGCGGTTGGCGGCAGCAATGGCGCCCCAGCGCCACGCCGTACCAATCAGGGTGCATACATGTCCCCATACTCGCGCAGAGCCTTTCTGCAGCGGGGCGGTGATGGATGATGTTTCTCTTCCATATACTTGCTTGTTTGCTGCTGTCTGCGCTTGTTTTGGTTGTGTTAATCAATATACTACATGCTTGTTCCATGCAGCACTTGCACAGCAGAGTGCCTGCTGTGAGGACACGTCTGCTGTAGGGTCACAACATGTGCAGCGCATATGCCGTAGTATCATCAACGTTCTACGGGAGCTGTGCCGGCCGACGGAAGGGCTGCGCGGGCCCGCCTGGGTATTGGCGCGCGGATACCTCAAAACCTGACGTCGGAAACATTTGGTCTCTAGCTTGTGTGCCTTGTACGGGCTTGTGCCCGCTTATTTCGGCTTGTCACCAACCTCGCTTGCGGGCA